AGCAGCAGCAGCAGCAGCAGGCGCAGCAGCAGCAGCAGGCGCAGCAGCAGCAGGGGCAGCAGCAGGAGCAGGAGCAGCAGCAGCCGGAGGAGGAGGAGCAGCGGCAGCAGCAGGAGCAGAAGCAGGAGCAGCAGCAGCAGGAGCAGCAGCGGGAGGAGGAGGAGGAGCAGCAGCAGCAGCAGCAGAAAAGACCTTGGGGGGGCCTCAGGCTGCTGCGGGGCCCCCAGGGCTTCATCGGTATCAGTGGACCCATAGAAACCCTAAAGGGGGGCCCCCCACATAATCTTATATTCAGCACATGCAGCAACAACGGCAAGGTATAATATATTAAACCTTGCTGCTGCTGCTGCTGCTGCTGCTGCTGCTGCTGCTCTTGGTGCTGCTGCTTTTTGTGTTGCTGCTGCCGCTTCTGCTGCTGCTGCCGCAACTGCCTCTGCTGCTACTTTTGCTGCTGCTGGCGCTGGTACTGCAGGTGTTGGTGCTGCTACTGCTGCTGCTACCCCTACTCCTACTGCTGCTGCTGCTGCTGTTCCTTGGGCTGCTGCTGCTGCTGCTGCTGCTGCTGCTGCTGCTGCTGCAGTATGTTCTCTCTGTGCGTTCTGCTGCTGCAGCCATCAACAACTTTCTTCAGGCCCCTTCTCCACTTCAATAAACAAGGTAAACAACAGGGGCCCCCCAGCAGGGGCCCCCCAGCAGGGGCCCCCGACAGGGGCCCCCCAGCAGGGGCCCCCGACAGGGGCCCCCCCAAGGGGGCCCCTCTAGGGGCCCCTGCTGCGGGGCCCCTGCTGGGGTCTATTAGAATACAGGAAGTTTCTGGTGTATCTGCAGCTCTGCATTGCTAGTGTACCAGCAGGAGCAGTAACAGCAGCAGCAGCAGCAGCAACAGCAGCAGCAGCAGCAGCAGCAGGGGTGTGTGTGTGGGGTGTCTCCGCAGGTCGAGTGTATAGTCTCCTTTTAGTGAAACTGCTGACGGGGCGCACTCATCAGATACGCGTTCATCTTGCTGCTCTCGGCCACCCCCTTGCTGCTGACTACAAATACCAACCAGGTCAGCAGCAGCAGCAGCAGCAGCAG